CGACGCCGCGCACCGCTCGGTCCCCCAGAGCTCGTGCGCTGTGACCTGTAACCGCCCAGGACGTTTCAGCTCCGCTGCCACCGCCAGCCACAGCTGTATTTTGCAGGAGGGGAAGCTGTTTTATTGCATTTGCAAATGAGAAAATAAACTGAGGGAGTTTATGGGTTAATTTCCTGGGTGCTAATATATACTGTGATACCGTGTGCAAACCTAAATTCAGAAGGGATAATTCTGCAAAGGGTGAATAGGGTTACCTAGATGTATATTTTTAAAAAGTGCCCATTCAGTATTCATTTTGGTAAATAGGACTACACTCAGAAAAAATCATGTTCTTCATTAGAATAAATTATCTTACATGATTTTTGTTTTGAGACTACCCAAAGACGCTGGTCTCCAGTGTGGAGTTACGGTCTCCTCACATACTCTTTTGAAACTCCATGTCATGTCTCGTTCATCAGAGCTGGAAAATACCGATTAAGAGTGTGTGTGTGTATATATATGTGTATTTCCTACCAGAAAATATGCACATACCAATATATTACAAATACATTACACTATTTTGTAATATTTATGAAGGCCAAATTATTTTGCTCCTAAAATTATTGAAAAATACTCCTTTTTTAATTTGATGTTCAAGGTTCATATATCAGCTTGGAACAGTTCATGGTACCTAATCGTACAAGGGTGTGTAGGTTGACTTTATATTTTTCCTTTGTGAATCTCAAATGGCTACTTTTCCTTTCATTTCAAAGAGGACATTTATGTGTTAAAATGATTGAATACTGAATCTTATCTTAGCTGCTGCTACAAAAATGAAAGCCAAACAGAAGGTGATACATTGCTCTCAAAAAATGTCTTTCTGCAATACCAAGAAGTCAGGATTTTAGTTAATCTCTCTTGTTACTTTTCTGAAGAGAGGGAAAAGAAGTAACACAACAATAAAATATACAGCATGTCATGAAATGGTTAGTTTTAGTATTTAGCTTCTGTTGTCTTTGTAGAGAAATTACATTAAAGTTCATTTCTCTTTTATGACAGATCTGAGCTATCTTGCTTACATTATATTATTAAAAAAATAAATCACTAGCAGTTTTATGTAGGCATACAAGAGTGTAACTATTTGTCTATGAATGTTTTCATCCATCTAAGCAAAGTGAAATGTAAAACTTGGATGCAGTCCTTTAATATATCCAAGTAATAAACTGGTATTGTGGTGGTGTGGGTAATAAAGCACAAACATGCATGAAGCACACCCTCGGCAAATAAATTAGGGTATTCTCTATACTCAAAATAATGGTTTCTGTTCCAGGATGTGCATTAGATGGCAATCAGTAAGAAGGAGTAATTAAAAAGAAGGGACCAAACAGAGACTAAGGGTGGGAGAAGGGGGAAGAAGGAAGAACAGACCAGAAGAGGGAGAGATGTGTCACTCTAATAAAAGTATCCATAGAAAGTTACTTTGAACATGAGACTACATGAGCAGTCCTGTATGGTGTGGGATGGCTGGGGTTTTTTCATTCTTTTTTTTTTTTGAACAATTCTACAGTAATTTTTAAGACATTAAAATTAGCAAAGATCACAAAAATATCAGAAGTTGTTGACACATGTATGAGTAAATCTTTTGTAAGATCTAGGGCACAGGCAATATATCTGTACACATTTTTTAGCTTTAGATATGCATCTATATCTATATCCATCTAACTCCCTATATGTCTAGCTATGTTCATCTTTTATGACCCAAATACGGCTGCAAGTAAGGAGTGGTTAACTAACTGTGGTTTGCAGTGATCAAAATGTCTTTTTCTGTTTTGACTTGTGCCTTTTGGAAAACAGTGACTGAAAAGAATATTTGGTAGGTAAAGCAATAAGCAACTGAGCCTGCAGTTGTAGAGCAACATTTTGGCTCACATGGTGAAGTCTGTCGTGAGATATTTGAGCTAGAGAGCATTGAGTTGAAGTTAGAGGTGTGGTATCACCATGCTGTGTGGTATCACCATGCTAGCTGTAGCACTGCTGGAAAACAGCAATCAAATCCTGTCTTTGCAAGCTAAAAGAGATGTTGGAAAATGAGAAAGATAAGATTTACAAGAATAATTCAAGGCCTAAGAAAATTCAATATATTTATGTAATTCTCAAGAAGGTTGGGAAGTTGTTTAGATGTGTTCCCTGTAGGATACTCATCTTGTTCAATTGAGATCTCTATAGTGTAACTTTCTACATCTGAGCTAGTTATCTAGACTTCTGTGACAATCAGTGGATAAAAAAATTTCCCCTGTGCTATTCATCTCAACTTGAAATAGTCATTAAAATATGTCATACAATATTTCTGAAAGTGGTTTTTTACTTTCAGTTGGCTCTAAAGCAAATCTAGAGAGTAGCTCAGGTGTAAAAATTGATAATGTACTTGTCCAAGGTAACCAAGGTGAGACGAATCCTACTCTCTGAACATTCGGGGAAGTAGATGCCTGATAGCAAAGTGCTATTAATCTACCAGAAAAAAACATGTCAAGATGCAAACAAACGTATTGATGCTCACAGATGTGCATCTGGGATGTAGAACTATTTCTTTTGTGTTGGGTCCAAACAGCAAATTGTCTTCTTCCTTCTTTTCCTTTCTAGAATGATTACAAGAAATTGTCTATGCAATGCAAGGATTTTGTAGTTGGACTCCTTGATTTGTGCAGAAATACGGAAGAAGTGGAAGCTATTTTGAATGGGGATGTAGAGATGAACCATAATAATGGAGAACATGGTCGCCCCAGCCTTAGCCGCTTAAAACTCGCCATTAAGTATGAAGTTAAAAAAGTAAGTACTGATGTTGATCAAACAGACATGTCATGATGGTGGTATTAAATTGTGCTATTATTAAATGTTTATGTTTTGGTAGCCTCTGACACTTAAATGAACATTTGGGCCCTTCTTCAGAGTGTATTTTACAAACAGAAGAATCCCTGCCTCAAATAGCTTGCAGTATAAACAAGCAGCAGGTATTGAGGCTGGGTACTGGTCACAGTGAGTATGAGAGCAAATGGCTCTAAAAAAATGTGTAGGTATATGCACAATTTTTATATATTTACTTCATTTTAGTTTTAATCTATTTAAAAAAAAACAAACAGGAGGAAATTTTCCCTACTTCTGCAGCCTGGAGAAGTATAAGATTTAATAAAGAACAGAGGATAACACAGCAGTCCTGTGCACTTGATACACATTTTTGTCAGTCTGTTGTGTCTTACTCCGAAAGTTGAGAAAACTTAGTGAAATTGCGTGTCTCAGAAAATGTATATTTGTCTGTATAGAAGATCAGAGACACAATCTAGGAGTAATAGTGCTATGGTTCTCACTTCGGAAGAACAGCAGGCTCCAGGCAGTGTTGAATACAGGAGTTATCATCCCTTCTTTGGCTTACTTTCATCTCTACTGTCCGTTTAATACTCTGGTCTGCATCTGAAAAGTGCTCAGTGAAACCAGCTGAGTTAGTAGCTGCATCAAGACCTTTGAATTACCCAGGAAACTTCTCTTGTATTATATAGGTTTTAAATTTCTAGGTGACATGCGTGTGAACCAGGGAGAAGTGATTTGTGTGATGAAGTTTGTACAACCGAAGTTCAGGAAGATACAGCTCAGGGATATACTTCGAAAGCAGATTACCCTAAAGTAGAGCTATCTCCTGACAGAGCAGCAAGACTTTTGATAAAACTTCTCCTACATAATTAAATGGATCAGATCAACACTGTGAAAATAAACATTATCTTATTTTAACCCCAAAAAATTTATATTTGACGAGTATTTATGTGTTCATGAAGGGAAGAAAAGAAGAAAAGTATTTTGACTGAAGAGCACCTACTAGCATATGAGCACAAACGTGCAAAACACTTGGCAAGCTACAGTCGCTAAAGAGGGCTGAAACAACAGCTGAAGAGAAAATACCACATTGACCTTGTCCTTCATAGTAATTGAGTCTTGATCCTTCCTTGGATATGAACTTTCTTTCAACACGTTCTCTTGCCTGAATAAAGATATTTCTTGCCCCTTCAGCCAGTCATCCTTTAAATATCGAGAACTATTCTAGAAAAAGAGTACTGGATTCAGTTAAATTTTTAATTGCATTTCTGGGTCTAGACTTAAAAATGTAGGGTGCACAAGAATCCACTATTTATTAATATCTACCTTTGTAAGAACCTTCTTTTAATCTCCAGAGGTTTTGACAGAAAAGAGGGTTATAGGCCATACTTCTCAGTTTTGTAGAGTTTGTCCAAAAGATTCCAGAACCAAGTTATAAATAGTCCTTAGCTGATTTCCTGTAGAAGTGACAGCTGTTTTCTCATGCCAGCTGAAAAAAATGGTATTTTCCACATTAGTATGTGAAAATACGGCATATTCTTTCCTTCATTGCTAAAGACTATATAGCATCCTTAGCAGAACAGAAAGACTTAAAGTTTTGGAGTTACTGAAGTAGTAACATGAAAAGTATAAATGTCAGAATCAAGTGGAGTTTGCCCAAATATAGTTTATGTTTAATTACCCTTAGTTGGAAATTAATAGTTTGTGGTGGAACACGGTGTCAATAAAATAATAGTTTTATAAATTAAAGGACTTCTTGTTGCCGATAGCAACATTCCTGCATGCTGGGAGATTTTGCTCATCAAAAAACTTTTCCTTGTACTCTTTTTTAATGCTCCTTTGAATATAAGCTGAGTTGTTGCTATTCACACATTCTTAATGCGCTTTATAAAACTGTTATTTTAATAAAAGATATTCTGATAGCGATATTTTATTATACTCCTTTCCTTTATTACAGTTCGTAGCACATCCAAACTGCCAGCAACAACTTCTTTCAATCTGGTATGAGAATTTGTCAGGTTTACGTCAGCAGACCATGGCAGTGAAGTTTCTGGTTGTTCTTGCTGTTGCGGTGGGACTGCCGTTCCTCTCAATGGCTTACTGGATTGCTCCTTGCAGTAAGGTCAGTCTGTGAAATCTTGTGATGGCTTGTTATTAACTCCTTTATCATTTGTGTTTAGATTCCTGTCAGCAAACATGAAGCATAAGTCTAAATTGACGTGCTTCAATAATACTTCAGAAACGTATTATTTTAAAGCGGAGTTAGAACAAAATGAACAAGAGTTGCCTTGTAGAAATTGTAGTTTAGAAACAGTAATTCAAGCTGTTCTTCATTTGGTGGTTGGTTTAGTAGGCAGATGCAGAAGATCCTCATTTCCCATTGATTCAGAGCTAGACTAAGTTCAAGCTGTGGGTTGATTCCAATTACCTCAAAGACAATTTTATTCTTTATGATTAAAAATTAATAGATAGAAATCACTGAAATGTGAATGTCAGAAATTAAAACAATCACCAGTTTTCTAGAAGTCAAAGTGAACCGTGTTGGCTTGTCAAGACAGTGCTAATACTCATGACGTTTCATGAGGTTTGTAAAGCAGTCGCGCAGCCTCCCCTGCATCCGTTTATAATGCGCTGTTTAGATCTGGGGTTACCACTGTATCTGTTTCGGGTGATGTATACTGTGGAAAGGCTTTCCACTGAAGATGGGTTATAAGCTCTGACCTCTCTGAACTTTGTGTTGAACCTCTGTTTTAGCTGGTCACTATCCATTGGAAACGGACACTGATGGAAAGTTTCCCTTGAGAGTACGTTGGAGGGAACGAGTGGGATCTTATAAGGATTATTCAACAGGTTATACTATAACGTCTGTGATTTTAGCAGGTCAAATTCTGTGCACATACAATGATTCCAGGGGAATATGAAGGTTGAAAGAGCGGACTGAGGTCTTTGTGTTTGTGGGGTTTTTTTATTGTTCTGTGAGAGGAGAAAGGTGGGCCTTTTTAGTTTTGCCATATTTTTCATTTCCTTCAGTCTAGACAATAAAAATCAGTTATATAATTTTCACTTTTGCTGTATAGTGACTAGGATTTTTATGAATACTTATGTCTTAAAACACACCTTGAGATTCAACTTACTTCAGTAACTGGTTTTCAACTATAGCAGTGACTTATCTATTTGTCATTTTCCCTTTTCAATGATTTATTGGATCTTAAAGTAATTTTGAACCTTTGTACATCTGAAAAAGCTATTTCAGAATAGCTTTTTAAAATCAAAGTTCAAGGGATAACATCCTTTAAGGTTTCATTTCCTCTGTTGCTATTTAATCATCTCATCATGTGATTTATGTGTTGAATGCTTTTTGTTTCATTATATTCTGCAAATGTAAAATCTAATCCACCTTTTTCACCAGTTTCCATTTCTTATCTTGTGCTTCACTTGTACTTCAAAATATATTCTCTGGTTTTTGAAGACAAAAATGTTCACTGTCTAGTTTCGGGTTAGGATGGCTCCAATGCAGAACATGATCTGTATCAACAGAGTCCATTCTGTGTATGAATTGATGGAATTTTATAAGTCTCTTCTTCTCCTACCGAGATAAAGTACCCATTCTTTTTCCAGGTTTTACACTATAGGGCACAGTAACAGAAGGGAGAGAAAATACAGTATACGTGGTGAAAATAAGAACTTACAGTGGAGTTATTCTGACCCGTTTGTTTGTATTCTTATGCCATGTCTCTAAGAAAGTAAACAATGTCTTTATGACATTTGCAACATCTCAGTCTGTTACCTTTATAGCTGGCCAGTTTCCTCTTTAGGAAGAAGTTAATTTGAGCTTGGACCACAGGTACTGAATTGAGAGTTTCAGATCTGGAAGAAATTTCACAGAAATATGTGGACAAAGGCATGTTGATTTGGCAGGAATTCACTAGTGTCAGATCCCACAAGGAATTAAGATTGCCTCTTATTTGAGTTTCAGCCAGCAATCCACATGGAGGCACTTCAAAGTTTGGTGAACTGTTTGCTCTGCATTTCTAATTGGTAATTCAGTGTAACTACTGACATAATTAACCCAAAACTTCTACAATACTATCTTATTACATGACATTTTGAAAGAGTAAAAACTATTTTCAGTTATCTTCAAGAATCTCTAATGTCTGTGCTGTGGAGCTCTAATTAAGAATAGAATTTAGCTTTTCAGCTTTATAAATGCATAAGTCACTCAATCAGCCTCTGGCCAAGATGAGGGATCTGAATTTGAATTGAGTCGTCTTTTGCTGTTCCCAGCCACCTGGGGTTGGCATTTCTAAAGAAGCAACTTGGTAGGTCCCTACCTGCTTTCTAGAAGTGTGTTCTGAAGGTTATACACATTCCTCTCCTGCACTGTGGTAGAGGAAAAGAAACTGAACGTTACGTCCATTATATAAGGAGTTAGGAAGTTGTTCTTCCGAAAACAGTACATGCATTATCTCTTTTTTGTTATCAGGCCTTTTCCTCTTTGTGATAGATGTGCTACATGGAGTCCTATTTTATAATTTCTTTATGAATGCCATACTCCATAATGTTACAATAATGATTGCTTCTGCAGAGTCACAAGGGAGGAATAATGTGAATCACTGACTCCAGCTCCCAGCGATTTCAGGTGACCCTACATACAGACAAATACGTGTCGAAGTACCGGCAGTATAGCTATTGTGTATCTTGTCCTAACCCAAACCAACCTATAAAACACTCTACAAAACTGTAGCAAACCAAAGGCTATAGCACAGAGGATCAGAAACTAGAAAAAGAAACCAAACCAAAACCTAAATTGAAAACCACTTCAATTACAGAAAGAGATTCAGACCATTTAGGTGATCATGTCCTTGGTCTGTGCCATGGGAGAGAATTTATTATGTCAAAGTGCACAGTGAAAGTGTATTAAGGAGGGACTCTAGCTTATAGAAAAGTCCAAACTTGCAAAGGTTATGGCCTTGTTTTCACATGTTGCTCTTTCTTTCCCTGATTCATATTTTCTGACCTATGTTTTCTCCATGAAGAGATTCAGAATTTTAAAAGTGTCATTTCAAGATTTTATTGGATCACTGTTATATGGCAATGTCATAATAACTTCTGGCATTTGTGTAGTCAGTTCAACCACAGTCAGCCGTGCTTCCAGGGAGATTTTACCATATATATGTAAAAAATACTTTTCTGTCCCTTTTGAAGGGGTGTGAGAGGGGGTGCTAGGAGTTCAGTCTTTTAAATGTTACAATTTTTGATCAAGGGATGTATTAACATTACCTCCTTCAGTATTTTTTCTTCTTTTCTGGCTATGTCACTTTCTGGCGCCTGTCTCCTAACCCATCGTCACTTGTAAACACAGGAATAATGCATTTAAAAGGACACTGTCAAGGTGTTTTATCATTTTCCAGCTCTGCTTTATTGTGTGTTATTTATGACTGTTCCTTCCTAGCTTGAAATAAAATCTTTCCCCATAACGATTGCCTGTTTTTTTTGTAGTTCACGCAAAATAATTGGTTGTTGAAGTTCCTCTCATGAGGCTGATGGAATATTTTATTTAATAAAAGGTAAATTAGTTTTTTTGAGTGAGAAACATAATGAATGGCATGGGTTTGCAAAATAATATAAGGGAGAAGGAAGATCAAATTTTGTGCGTGCAAACCTTGACAATGCTCCTTTAACAGTATCTTCTTTTTACATTTGTCTAGTTTTCTTAATGTAATCTGTGTGTGAAACCTTACCATCACATCCTCCGCTGCATCCTCTTATTCTTTGTTTCTGTAAAAGCTGACTGTAACAACAGCAAAATTCTGACTTTGGTATTAAAACAAGTGTAGCAAAAATATGTATACCAGTAATTTATCTTTCTGCTTTCCTCTCCCTTTCCAGATCACAGATTGTTATATGTTTCAGCTGAGATCTGTGACACTTGCTCTCACTTCTTTCCAAGGAATTTTTGTCACGTATAGATACTGTCTTCATCTAAAATAAGAGAATATTTTTCTGCAACTGTCAACTAAGTGAACAAGCTAAGACTTTTACTATTAATACAGGCACTCCCAAAAATAAAGTAAATAATTGCTAAAAGTTCAGCCTTGTGTGAGTTTCTGTGGCATTTTTATTTTTTTTAAGTGTTGCACTAAATCATTTTGAAGTTGTGCTTTGTCCTGACAAGGTTGAGGACATGTCTGTTAAGGGAGTCAGGAAGGAAATTAAGACACTACAGAAGTCTAAACATAATGTTTTGAGGCCTCATGACTTGTTTTTAAAAAGAAAATAAGTTAGGAAAACTGTACAATATCTGTGCTAAACTGAGTATTACATCAGATAGGAAACTGAATTCTTTAGTCATAATTCACTCGTGGTGATAATTTAATGCTATTAGTAAGTGTCAAAATCCCATTTTCTTTGTTGCCTCATAAAGATGACTAGCATGTAAATTAAAAAGAAATTCAACAACTATAATAAATTTTTCTTTTGGTTACCTATAGTAGACGTAGATGCCCCAAAATAATTACAGATTTATTTCAAAACACTGAGTTAAAAATACCTATGGTCAAACTCATATATTATGTCTTTGAAAATAGCAAATAAGTAGAAACTTTTAAAGTTGACTGTTAGCATGGTGTCATAGTGTACAAACTTTTTCCAAATAATTGTTCCTCTGTATTATTGAAATACATATTTCTCTGTGTTACTGTTCTTTTTATACATTTTTATGTTGGAAGGCGGCAATGCAATATCCTTGTGTTTTATAACCTCTGTTACAGCTGGGGAGGATAATGCGTGGACCATTTATGAAGTTTGTAGCCCATGCAGCCTCTTTCACCATTTTTCTCGGTCTACTTGTCATGAATGCAGCTGACAGATTTGATGGCACTAAACTCCGACCTAATGAAACAACGGGCAACGTAAAACAGCTATTTAGGATGAAAACATCCTGTTTCTCATGGATGGAGATGCTCATTATTTCTTGGGTAATAGGTAAAGATTAATTTTCACTTAAATTTGTCTTGCCCTGATTTCAGTGAAGCTGGACACAATTTAATCCTTTGCTATTAATGTTATGTGTAAAAATTGCAACAAAGGGAGTTCATTCAACTGGCTGCATTCTCACATTGGCCTCATGTTTCTTACTGGATGTCAGCAGGATTCACATACGCCTAGTTAATCACAAACATTCAGGTTCAGGACTTAGCTGAAATCATCTGAATATGAATGAATTCAATTTTATAAATATCAAAGGAAAGTGTCTACCAGTTTTCTGAGGTTTTTTTTGAGGCAGGCTGTGTCAACTCTCACGGGGAAAGATTTCCACATCACGGGCCAAGTGTTTTTTTGTCCAATTGTCTCTTTCTGCTAAGATTCTCTTATTTTGCAAGCATGCCTGCAGAAATAATAGTGTATAGCTGAACGTATTATTGACAAAAGGGAAGCAGAATACAGACCCCTGAACATTCAGCGGTAGATTTGTCCATCCCAACGTAGGAATTAAATGAATATTATTGAGCAGTACTCTGGGCTGACCCGTTCAATTCAGTGATGCAGTACTATTCAGCGTAAGAACTTGAGCACAGACCCTCAGAAATATTTTAGCTGTCTGATTATTATTTACCATTTATTCCAATGCGGGTTAGGTGCCCAGATATTTTAAAGATGTGGGTTCTAGTTGTTAGTTAAGTCAGTAATTTGGGAGAGTTAAATTCAAACTAAGTAAAATCTGTTTCCATTCAAGAGCTTATGCATTTAAAATATTTTGCTTTTATGAGCTCTCTCTGATTGAAATTGGAGCCATTTGTATATCAGTTCTTATAGCTTTGAAAGACTTTGACAATCTTAATTTATTTCATCATATAGCTGTATATAAATTAATATAATTGTGTATTAAGGGAATAATATGACACTTAGATTCCCAAATGTTCTATAAATATCAGTGTTTTCCTCTGACAATAAAGGAGTAAATAATAATTTTCCAGTTTGAAGTTCTAGTTTGCTAATTTAGTCTATTTTTATTTATTTCAGTGTCATGCATAAGACGGTGTATGAAAAATTGGTCCAGTGCATACAGATGTAGCATTGATTTTAATTACTGTAATTAACATTATAATTGTCCTTATCTGAAAATGGTGGAAAGTTCCTTCAGACAATTCGAGAAGTACAAAAAATAGTGACTTTATTCCAATTCAGTTTTTTATTAATTCTTTTTAGAACCCTAGAAACATAGTTCATGATTAAACAAATTTTATCTTGAAAAGGAAAAGGATTTGCTCAATAAAAGGATGCCATAAACTAATACTGTACTCCTATATTTTATTATTAAGGGAGAATAATTGGGAATCAAAGAGATACCTTTGCTCTGTTGAAGAAGCATTAGGTCTGATTCTTACTTTTATGCTCATTTGTTACATATATTTGCAATTTCAGTAAAATAGACTGTACCCAGCGTACTCTGCAAATAAGAAAACGTGAGTTCTGATATTAATTAGACCACTATATGATCATGCTAGAGCATTTCTGCTCTTTCAGTTTCTTTCGGTGTCTGTAACAGATGGTAAAACTCACATCCTGTTCTTCCCTTTGAAAATTTTTGTAGTTGTGTAGGAAAAAGCAGTATGAAAAATTATTGTTATTACTCACATGAGAAAGAAGTACTGGAATGTATTTGAATTGGCAGGTTCAAGGATTTTAGTTTGTGTTCGAACTCCCACTGAACAAAATGGTTTTGAGTTTGGCTGCAACATAATAAAATATTGAATAAAACAAACATGAAGATAAAAGAACACAAACATGAAGATAAAAGAACACACTGTCTTCTCTGTTCTGTCTTATACAGGCATGATATGGTCAGAATGTAAAGAAATTTGGTCTCAAGGTCCAAAGGAATACCTTTTTGAGTTATGGAATATGCTTGATTTTGGTATGTTAGCAATTTTTGCAGCATCATTCATAGCAAGGTTTATGGCATTTTGGCATGCATCCCGAGCCCAGAACTTCGTTGATGCAAATATGAAAGACCTGGCGAGTCCAACACTGGAGCCCAACATAAAATACTACACCTTGGGTGAGTTGATTGCACAAGTTCAAGACTTACTTCTTGGGCCAAGATTAATTGATTTTCTGTTAGTTAGTCTTCAATACTTCAGTTCTACAATGTACTGCTTAAGTTTCCACTCCTTTTTCTCATCCATACTATATGACCACATATATTGGCTATACTCATACATCTCTTTGGGGACTCTTCTAGACATCAAGCGCTGAAATGATCTAAGATCAAAATAACCCCACTGTCACCCCACCCCTTTTCAAGATTATTTTGATGCAGGTCATTCCATCTGTTCAGTTACACAACTCTATCGTGCAATCCCTTGTGTTGGCACAACTGCAAATGTGATGTGCTGTAATGCAGGGACAGAACTAAGCAATGAGGTCCAGGAAGTTCTTAAACCTGCTTTGCCAACATAACCAATATACCTTTTGACTACAGCCTAATTCATTGCTCAGAGACTGTGTTATATTATTTTAATATTTCTCAATCTACTCTCTTTACCAGTAAAAGATAAAAATGTTAATAATTTTGCTTGGCGCATATGAGAAGTGACGAGAAGCTATTTTGTCCAAATGAGAAAAAAAAATGTTTGCTTGTGTTCACTCTCAACACCACCACATCTCTCTTCCCTTTATTAGATATTTTTCTCTACATACCAAATTACATCAGTTTCTATCTCTATTTTGTGCCTCAAATACTATTTCTGATAAGGCTGCATTTCTTCATTAGCCAGACTGTAGAAAAAGTAGAGCAATTAACATATATATTCTGAAACCCGTTAAATTGTAGTAATAAATTTTACTGGAAAGTTACAAATTTCATATAAGTTATAAAAGCAGCTAGTTAAATATTAATTCAGTTTTCAGTAACACCCACTTGAAGAATTTGCAGACAGGGACTATTGTTTATGTTCACAATTTCTGGGTGTGACAAGCTCAAGTCTTGTAACTCATTTATGCTATATAATACTGTATCATCTAGCAAGGCAGTTTCTGTTGACATCAGTCATGAGTTGTGGCTTTGTTATGCACTTAAGCAGAGCTGAGCCATTTTTTTAGTGTATGCACGTACACTGAATCCTGCTTGGAGAACATCTATGTGTGGTAATGCTAACATGGATAATATTAATGGTGAATATTTAATGCCACGGGTTTTATCATAGGCTAGCAGACATAACTTGGTGGACACCAGGTTGAACATGAGCCAAAAATGGGCCCTTGGGGTAAAGAAGGCCCATGGTATCCTGGGCTGCATTAAGCAAAGTATTGCCAGCATGTGGAAGGAGGTGATCCTTCCCATCTACTCCACACTGGTGAGGCCACACCTGGAGGACTGTGTCCAGTTCTGGGCTCCCCAGTACAAGACAGACATGGACATACTGAATAGAGTCCAGCAAAGTGCCACAAAGATGATGAAGTGGCTGGAGCATCTCTCCTATGAGGAAAGGCTGAGAGAACTAGGACTGTTCAGCCTGGAGAAGAGAAGGCTCAGGAGGGATCTCATCAATGTATATAAATACCTGAAGGGAGGGTGCAAAAAGGATGGAGCCAGGCTCTTTTGATTGTTGCCCGTTGACAGGACCAGAAACAATGGGCACAAGCTGAAACACAGGAGTTTCCCTCTGAACATCAGGAAAGACTTTTTTACTGTTAGGGTGACCGACCACTTGGCACAGGTTGCCCAGGAAGGTGGTGGAGTCTCCATTCTTGGAGATACTCAGATACCATCTGGACATGGTCCTGGGCAACCAGCTCTAGGTGGCCCTCTTTGAGCAGGGGTGTTGGATCAGATGACCTCCAGAGGTCCCTTCCCACCTCAAACTTTCTGCGATAATATAGCTCATATGGAAACCTGAGAGATATCTGGCTACTAGCCCATACTGAAACATCTGCCATCTTTGATTTTAGTTATCCGTGAAGTCTGGGGTAAAGCTAACATAGGTATGTCTACTTATGTGAAAATGCGCAGTATTTTGCCATACAGACATTTTGCCATTTGAATGTAGTGTGTAGTAGGCTTTACAGTGAGGAGCTCAATAAAAAAAAGAATACGCACATACTGACAAGAAACACACAGCAGCTAACAAGGCAATGAATATGTGATAACAGCCTTGTTATGTCTAAAACCAGAGTCATTCTTTACTGTGTCATGATACATGAATAATGGCAGGGCAGTAAGTTCCTTGAAAAATATAATTTTCTGCTGCATGTAAGGACGTTTTGAATAATGCTCAGCATCACTGGGTATGGATATATTCATAGAATCATATAATACTTTGGGTTGGAAGGACTTTTAAAGGTCATCTAGCCCAGCCCCCCTACAAGGAGCACAGACATCTTCAACTAGATCAGGTTGCTCAGAGCCCTGTCCCACCTGACCTTGAATGTTGCCAGGGATGGGGCATCTACCACTTCTCTGGGCGACCCTTGCCAGTTGTATTAACAGACACTCTCTCTCGTGGGATATAGGAAACCCATCCTAGACTAACCTCTTCTCTTTGCCTGAAGCACAACAGTGAACTGAATTTAAGCCTCCCAGCCTCAGGGGAGGATGCCTTAATCTTCATCTAGGAAGTGAAAAGCTGCTGGAAATGGGTGTTTGTTGTATGCCAGGAAGGGGCCATTACCATTTTACTATGAGTAAAAAGGTGGAGTAAATAGAAAGAGTAGAGAAACATTACTGTTCTCACATTTTTGGAGTTGTGGATGGCATTTAATGATTCCAGATCCCCTCATCAAAACAGCTCGAATAAATCACATTTCTAATTTGATTTATTAATTTCTCATCACCTGATCCTATAAGCTGAATTTTACTTAAATTCTCTAATAGATGGGGATTCAACTCCCAAAAAGGTACTTCAGTGATCTTACAGCCCACCTTTATAATCATTGGAGACCTAATCAATACAGTCATTGGAGCTGTGAAATGGTTTTAGCGCTACCTGGCTCAATTCAGTTGGCCAAGCATGAGTGACTAGTGCCATTTGAATTGCCAAGGTGCTACTCCAAAACAACCTCCCACAGATCTGTACAAATGTCTTGGATACCCTGGGCACCTCAAATGGTTAACGGATGTCTTTGTTCAGGTGTCTGAATCCAGCCCCAAGCGCTCACTAGGCTGCACCGACTGTACCTCCCATTTGGATAGCTGTCTGCAGATGACTCAATCTCATACTGAATCCTATTCATGGTTTCTTCTAATTAAAAATTACACTTCTGATGAAGGTGTAAAAAGAAGAGGGTAAAACAGTAGTAAAAAAATAAAATGCTTCCTGAACCCTAGCATAGTAGATAAAATAATAACCCACTTGTGTTTCAGTCTTAACCAAGTATATTCCTTTCTTTCACTTTTATTTCTAGCAGCATCTTCATGTAAGACATTTACTGAGCAGTGTGATTTAGTGGACAACCACTACTGGCTCTATTTGAGCAGTCATACTTGTCACATGGAAGCCCAACTTAATAACTAAGTATTCACTGCTGTCAGTGAGAAAGTAGATTTTCTATGTATTTATTTTTTAAGTTTGAAAGGGTGAAAAGTAACTGCTGCTTACTTTAAGGCCACAAAATCTTAGAATTTTTCTGCAAGTCAAAATTGCTGAAAAATCATGATGCAATGTACAATAAAGGAAAAAAACCCATGAGGACTGCATCTTATCTCTTCCAAATTTGCATAGCACCATTGCATTTAATTCCAGTTTACACTGATTCATTGTTACTCACCAAAAGAGACTACTTCAGTGAACAGCCTAAGGTGGGCTTTGAAATACTGACAGAAATTCTCATCTTTTATTTCTAGCCAGAATAAACTGGGATCCGTCCGATCCTCAGATCATATCTGAAGGCCTGTATGCAATTGCGGTAGTATTAAGTTTCTCCAGGATAGCGTACATTTTACCAGCTAATGAAAGCTTTGGACCACTGCAGATATCGCTTGGCAGAACTGTGAAAGACATCTTCAAGTTCATGGTGATATTTATCATGGTGTTTGTGGCTTTCATGATAGGCATGTTTAATCTCTATTCCTACTATCTGGGGGCGAAACAAAATGAAGCATTCACAACGTAAGTAAAACTGATTAAACTGTAATGATTGTGGGCTATTTTTACGGAAAGTCGGTTGCTTGCATTGTATGTATTGTTTACTAATTGTTTTGTAAGGTTTACATCTCTTAAAAATTTCTTTGCCTTGGATTAAGTCGTAATTTTTTCTCTTGTTCTGGTGCTGAAAGGATATATTTGAAATCAGAGGATGAACTCTTGATCCCAACAATACTATGATAAATCGGGAAAGACAGGCTGGGAATGTGGGATTAGTTGCCCTTCACATGAGAGAGCAGCAGGAGTGCCTGTACCTCTGCCTAGCGATACATGATGAGCCAGCGAGAGTTTATAGGTCAGGATTAGAGGGCAGACCAACGTGGGTGATGTTGTAGTGGATGTCCGCTGTGGAATGCCTGATGAAACCTTCTTCACACAACCGGAAGAAGCCTCACACTTGCAGGCCCTGGTCCTCATAGGGGTTTTTAACCACCCTGATAGCTGTTGGAGGGACAACACAGCAGGGCACAAGCAATCCAGGAGGTTTCTAGAGGTCATTGCCAGTCGTTTCCTGACACAGATGATCAAGGAGCTGATGCGGGGAGGAGCTTTGTGGCACCCAACTTTTACAAACAAGGAAGAACTGGTTGGGTATGTGAAAGCTGGGAACAGCCTTGGCTGACCATGAGGTGGTGGAGTTCAGGTTCCTGGCAAGAGAGAACAAGGCAAATAGCAGGACGACAACAATCTGTTGTTCCAGGATTTCGGGGCACAGGCTGGGGCAGACCCTGGGCCTGCAGGACCGCGTCCTGCCTGCAAGGGCGGTCAACACCAGCGTTTCAGAGCGCAGCGTAGCAGCTCCCTGCAGCACGTGGGAGCACGGCTGGTTCGTCCATCAGCTGTCATCTGTAATTGAAGCAGGCTAATCACTACCACATGGTACACATTATAAAGTAGTCGTTACTTAATTCAGACAACTCTGCATATTCTTACTACTCAAAAAAAAAAAAAAAAAATCTAATCCCTGTTTCAAGCTCTGGCTCTCCGTAGTTTCCAGTGGCAATAACGTATTCCATCTTGAGAGGAGAAAATATATTCCCTTTTTTTTTTTTAAACTCTTTATTTCTTTAGCTGTTCCTTTTTTCTTCTCCCACCATAAGAAGAGCAATTCTGAATTTACTCTGTCTGTCAGGAGTTATTTGGTATACATTTGTCATGCCTCTCATTTCTAGCTGTGATGTTAAGATAAATCACTCGAGTGGAAGCTCATTCTTTTCCATGCTCTGCAGCCCTTTCCCACTTAATTTCTGGCTGTCATGATATTCAGGCTATAGCTGTTATGAAGCATACTCAGCCAGGGAGCAAACTTGGCCAAGAGGGAAAATTTTGTTACTGCTTTTTTATTATTATTAGTTCACATTATAGATAAAGTACCTAAAACTACAACTCACAGATGGAATACTAGTAAAATATTATAAGCGGAGAAGTAAATTTACCACTGAAGATTACAAGTTTCTTCTAACTTTTTTTCTTAACAATAACACAATAAAATCTAAAGTGTGCTTTTCAATGCTACTGCATTTTTGGATATGGGCAACTGAGATCTCTTCATCAAAGCAAGGGAAAATATGTCTTAAAACAGGTGGAGATAGACAGGAAAAGGTCTTCAGAGCTTTGGACTTATGTTTGTGTGTATATATATAAGCTGATTAAGAGTCAAACATCCTGTCTTCACAGTTTCAGAACGTTAGTCATATTAATGCTGAAATAATTCATACTAAGTGAACTAATGGTGCAATTAAAATAAAGTATTTACAGGTTAATTATTTTTGTTCTTTACATTCACATTACCGGCAAGCATGTAGCATGTAGATTAAAGTAGTTAACAAGTGAATCATTGTAATATTCTTTTGAGGCTGTATATATAATTACTAAACTGAATCAGACGGTTTTATTGTCAGTCCTAAATATTAGGAATCTTATCTTGTGAAACAGCCTGTACCTATGAAATTAGACAGTCTACTTGTTCTCCATAATAGCACTATGGTAAGGTTCTACATTATGATAATGGAAAAATTTGTGCACAGTATAAAAATGGTAACTGACAATTTATACAATAAGAATATACAGCTTTTCTTCAGTAACTTACGCATATGTTCAATTTCTCCTTTCTTCTCTTTCCTTTTAGTGTTGAAGAAAGTTTCAAGACATTGTTCTGGGCTATATTTGGACTCTCGGAAGTTAAATCAGTTGTCATCAATTATAAACACAAATTTATTGAAAACATTGGTTATGTCCTTTATGGAGTCTATAATGTTACCATGGTCATTGTCTTACTGAACATGCTTATTGCAATGATCAACAGTTCATTCCAGGAAATTGAGGTAAAAATTCTGTTTATGGTGAAATATCACCACATTTACTCTTATAGTTAATTATCTAAATGGCCTGGAAAATCTTTCTTGTTGACATCTTATTTAAGAAAAATGACACATAGGCTTTTGGAATTAGGAGCAAATATTAATTCCACTGTACATTTTTATTATAAAATACCTGGAAATTACCCAGCTGCATGTGCTTGCAATAGTAAGAACTAGACTGGACTAAGAAACTGCTGTTGAACGGTGTTATGTTCCTGGAGGAGATGGGCTACATTGTGTAACTTTGTGAATCTTGCATTTGCCTCCTTTGTAGTTATTGTTTGAGTAGTTGTCCCTCTTGCTGCAAGGATGTTCTTGTTCCTATGCCTTGACCTTGCAAGCAAGTCTGTAACATGCTGTTTTCTTCTTTTACTTAAACAACAGTTACTCTAGTCCTCTGCAGCAAACAAAACTTTACTTGACAAAGTAATCAGCAGAGCTACTGAAAATAAACATGTACTTTTGCATGGAAAACAAAGGGCTATATCATTATCATTGTTTAGCAAAAAAGGAAGCAGATCTCCAGGATCCATCCCAAGCTTTCCGAGATAATGCCCTTGCCACAAAGCAGCAGACTCGGGTTGTTTGACACCGCTCTGGTCCCAGGTTCTGAGCTGTGGTTTGGGGCTCTAGTGTTGTCCAGCTTGAGCAAGAGCAATACACATTCTCTAGGGAGGTTCAGATCCCTCTGACTCAGGAGGCCACAGAACAAACTATCAGGTTCAGAGCAATAAAAACCAGGCTATTATAAAAAAATATGGTGGCTGGGTACAAACAGCTAAAAACAGCTACAGCAATATTGAGTCATGTCCTTGAACATGACATCAGTCCTTTCTGCAGAAAACCCTCTTGAACTTTGCAGGGAGAAATAGAGTGTTTTGGCTATCGTAAATGATAAACATAAACCGTGGTGGTGATAGCATACCTGATTTAATCTCATATTCCAGCAAGTGGAAGGAATTAGGTAAGAATCACCTAATCTTTTTTAACTTCATGTTTAAAGTAATAGAGTAAAATTTTCATTTCAAATTCGGATACTATGTCTTTTTCACAAAAAAGATAATAGCCTAATTGCAACAGAAGAGACCAATAAAATAAGAAATCAAAGCTGATAGTCTCATTGAGAGATTTACATTATTGTTATGTGAACATAAGGGTTTTCCATTTTATTTACTGAGCATGACAGTGTTGCAAGCGACTACTTAGTCAAGCCCTAACAGAAGAATTTTGAGTGTTGCCATGAAGCTCTAAATTGGGCATTGTATTGTGTGCTTTTAAGTCAGAGCTTTTGTTCTTATCAGTGTGTTTACAACAGGCACCAAAGAGGTCTGTCTTTGTAATCCCGCATTGCAGACTAGTAGCACTCACTCTGGCGTAACCAATGTCTAAATCAAATCCGCTTTGTTCTTCTATAGTTGCATTATTTTAAATGGACTAATAAGAACAGTTCCATTCAATGAAATTTGGTTTCCACAGATTATAAACAAGTTCTTGATCTGTTTGAGATTAACTTCAGCTGATTACATTCAAAACACCCATAAAGTTTAGCTAGAGCATCTTTAGTAGTAAAGGTAGTATTAACAGTACATTAACAGCTGTGTTTCTGTTTTACAGGATGATGCTGATGTAGAATGGAAATTTGCAAGGGCTAAACTTTGGTTTTCTTACTTTGAAGAAGGGAGAACTCTTCCAGTACCCTTCAACTTAGTGCCAAGCCCAAAATCTTTGCTGTATCTCCTACTCAGAATCAAAAAATGGATCTCTAAACCATTTATGTGCCAAAAGAAAAACTTTCAGGAAGATGCAGAGATGAACAAGGTAATTGTATAATGTGTATACTGACTGCTGATTTTAAAAGATAAAACCAATTTTAACTTCATTTTTCTTGTTGATAGGTTTTTCTGATTAATTTTCCAACATACTTAGTCCACACTGAAGTTAATGACTACGTACAGGCTGAAATTCTTGCTTATTTTTTTAATATAAATATTTGTCTACATCTGTAATCAGTAAAGTCCAAAAATACCATTGTAAATTTACAGTTCTTCCTGCTTCTTGTCACAGAATCAGAGAATAATTCAGGCTGGGAAGGGCTTCAGGAGATCTCTGGTCCAACCTCCTTCTCACAGCAGAGTCAACTCTGAGGTCAGGTCAGGTTGCTCAGGGCTTCATCCAGTCAGGTCTTGAAAAGCTCCAAGGATGGAGACTACACAACCTCTCTTGGCAGCATGTGCCATTGCCTGACTGTCCCTCAGGGGAAAAAGTTGCTTCTTCTACCTCTTGTTTGAATTTGTCCATTGTCTCTCATCCTTCGGTCCTGCAGTACTGTGAGGAGCCTAGCTCCTTCTCTTCAGTGACCTCCCTGTACACACTGGGGGCTCCTGTTAGGTATGCCTGACGCCATCTCTGCTTCAGGCTGAACTAGCCCAGACTCCCCAGTGTCTCTTCACAGGGCAAGTGCTCCAGCCCCAAATCCTTATGACCCCCTGCTGAACTTGCAGCAGATTTTAACATCTTCCTCATTTTCCCTCAAGTCCCCCAGGTCCTTTTCTGCAGAGCTGCTCCCCAGCCAGGCAGTCCCCAGCCTGTGTTGTTGAAAGAGTTATTCCTTCCCATTTGTCCTTAGTGAAATTCACAGGGTTCCTGTCCTCCTGGATGGCGTCCCTGTCCTCAAGCCTATCAGCTCCTCCCCACCCCCAAGTTTTGCTTTGTCTGCAAACTTCACAGGAGTGCGCTCCAACACTTCTGACACCCGGTCATTGAAAAAGATGTTTAGAAGGGCAAGTCCCAGGACGAGACCCCTCTACTACCCTCTGAGCACAACCATCCTGACAGGATTTTGCCCATCTAGTTGTCCACCCATCCAGGCAGTAACATCCTAAATGTGGGTATAAGAATATTCCAGGATAGTGTTAAAACCCTTGCTAAAGGCAAGGTAGATGACATCTCCAGCTTTCCCCTCATTTGCAAATCCAGTCATTTTATCTCAGAAGGCCATCTGGATGGGTCAGACAGGTTTTACTCCTCATAAACCCACACTTACTGTTCCCAGTCACTGTCTGCTTTTCCGTGTGGCCAGAAATGTGCTCCAGGAGGACTCAGTCCATTATTTTGTAGTTACCAAAGTGAGCTTGAGTGGCCTGTTGTTGCCCAGATCTTCATTTTTGGCCTTTTTTGAAGATGGGTTTGACATATGTCTTTCTCCAGCCTTTGGGGACCTCTCCCAATCTCCGTGATCTTTCAAAGATGATAGCATATTAGCAAGGACTTCGCCTGTTTTCTCGGTGCCTGTGGATGCACCCCATTGGGTCCAATGGACTCGCTTGGGTCAAGTTCTCTCATGTAACCCCTGTGACCCTTCTCCACAGCCAGTCATTCTCCTTCTTCTCAAATCCCTTCACTAAACACAGAGGCCTGAGAGACTGTTGGTGAGGCCTGAGGCAAAGAAGGCATCAAGTCCCTCAGCCTTACCTGCGTCCGCTGTCACTAAATCCCCTGCCCCACTGAACAACAGGCCCACATTTTCCTTGTTCAGCCTTACACTGCTATTGCAGCAGTAGAAGCCCTTCTTCCTGCCCTTTCAAATGTCAGCTTAAGGTGAGCTTTGGCTTTTCTCCCACCACATGCCTGGGTAGAGTTTCTAAATTCCCCCTTTGTAGCCTGTCTCTGCTTCTGCTGAGAATGCATCCTGCTTTTATTGTAAAGCATTCTGTTATCTGTTTTATTCACACGACAAATACAGTAAAGCACTTGAGTTGATTCCTTGCTGTATCTCAAGGGCTTATTTAAAGAGTTCATAGTCAGTCTGTTTTTCTTGCAGTGTTTTGGTATACATCAAATTAATTGCTTTAGGAGAACATGTGGCATAGCACGTGGTGTTAGGTGGTACTGGAAGCGTGAAGACTAGCACTATTGTAACACGTTAGGGAAGAAGAACATCACATGACAACTGATGAGATGTAGTGAGTAGAAAGGTGAGCATATGGTAACATTCACACAAAAAAAGAAATTGTGGGTTTGTCACGGTGGCAGAAACAGATGTGTCATTTATGGAAATTTTGATGCACCAGGGTCTTTGTTAAAATAGGCAGTAGTCTGCACAGAGGCCTTTTCAAGGTTAGGAGTTCTTGAGCCTGTGGTCAAGAGTCATTAGGCCTTAGGCTGGGGGTCGTAAAGAATTTATGTGCATTTGTCAGCTGTCACCAATGTGACAAGCACTTTTTCCATCAGAGTTACCAGCTGAAGAGTAAAAGAGAAAAGAAACTGGTTGCAAGCCTGGAAGGAAAAAATGGAGCTACAGGGGAAAAAACTGTGCCTCTGACAAGCCTCTGTCTCTGGTTAAGTTCATAATAGTTTATAAAAACAAAACGCAGATACTACAAACACTGTCACCAAAGTCAAGATTGTTATTAACTTCAGATGTCTCTTGTGTGCTACTGGTAATTTTTCTAGCATTTCACAGATCTCAGTTTTATTTGGGAAACCTAATCCTAATGTATTTAAGACCTAATGGAGGTGATACCGTTTTTAATGACTCCTGACATTTGCAAATCTTTTCATCAAGCTGCTTGATGCAAACTAATTTTACAACTTCTATGATAAAGTCATCACTGAATAATCATGAATTTAAGGAAATGCATATAAACTTCAAATTGAGTGATGGTGAGAAACAACAAATCAAAGGATTTTTTTTCCTAGTTCACTTAATTTGTGACTTTGAAAAGCACGTAAGTTAGAAGCGTATTTTTAATGACTTTTTAAAATGAAATTTACGTTCCCATGAAACAGGTACTCTTAAAAATCCCATTCTTACACCATAAGGAAAGAGGCTGCATTTTTATCATTACTTTCCAAAATTGTATTCAAACCTAGCAATTCAGATGGCTAGAAAGGTGCAAAGTGTAATAATTACCAATTCTAGATAACAGAGTGACCTTTGTGTCTGCTGTTACAGCAGTCCCTCTGAAAGAGAGATGTAAGGATGGAACCATCATTTATCAGATTTCTTCCTAACCCTGAATTAATTTTTGGTCTTCAAATATTAATGCTTTCCACTCGCTGCAGCTTGTAGTATAACTAATGCTAAATGAAGTGTGCTTACTCCTCAGCCAAAGAGCTATAAATCTGCCAATCAATTTTAAAAAAAAAAAGCTTTTACATTGAAAAATGTAAAGCAGCTGAGTCGCATCTATTGATTCCTCAGCTTTTGCAGCAAGGTGACTGATATTGCCAGATGATTACATTTTTACTCGCCTTTTGGAATGCCACATACTGTGGAGCTGACTTTATCTGAATCCATCAGATGCTGCCATCCTTCGCACTTCTAAAAAGTAACTAAAATATTTTTGTGACACATTTTGACCCACTGTTGATGATTTGTTATTGTTGAGGCTGTTTTGTGGCATCTTCTCAAGGCGTTCTCAGGTTTTCCAGGTTTTGACTTTGGTCTCATCCTGTGCTGAGCAGGTTTGATGCTGCTGTGACTGCTGAGCAAGGGCTACTTGTGCAAAGAGCTGCTATAAACGCGATGAGCTGTGCAAAGATAAGAAAAGATTTAGCAAGACCAGAACCAAGACTTTGTGGCTGTGGCTGTTCTAAAGAGTTAAATGTGTCAGGGAGTTTATCTGGGCACTGAGGGCAGTTCAGGAATGGCTTACCCCTATTCAAGTAGTTTTCCTCCCAAAGTAGAGTTGCTGCAAGCTGTTGGCTCCAGACCATTCCAGTTGCCAGACTGTGCCCAGGGAGAGAGCCAGTTGCTCTGGTGCAAGTCCTACGTGGGAGGGCACTAAAAGTTTACTGATAGAAGAAATTGCATTGCAATACCCAGAAATGTTAACACACGTCTGAGTTTAGTGATGCAGACCCAGCCTGTGGGTCTTTCTCCTGCAGAGCTTGAACCTTCTCGGTGCAAAAACGGCAGCAGTACCAGGGTGAGAGTAAAGACAAGAATTAAGATGGGAAGGGGGGAAATTCTGTCCCTAGAGTCAGCTCTGCCCTGATTACCCTTGGCAGAAAACAAAGCTGGATGCCGGCAATGCTGAACGGCAAGCAATTTACATAGCTGTGTTTAAAGTGTAGCACATCAGAAACTAATTTCTTGAGACATATCTACATATAATAATAAAAGCTATGATGTTTTCTTTCAGGCTGTTGATTAAAACTCAGATTTCTTCTGTTTCAGGCTAGAATTGATGTTGTAAACATCAAGTGAACAAGAAACTCAAACCAAAAAGGGAGAGAAATAAATGAAGAAAAAGGAGAGTTTTAAAGAAACCTACTTTGAGTTTTATTCTGAATTGAAAAATTGCATTGTGAATGAGAAAGTTTGTGGTTTAAGAATCACAGAACTTGTTCATCTTCCTGAGCTAAAAACTGACAGCGGCAGATGATGTATTTAAGCCTTTTTCTTAAAAAATGGCCCTTCAGAATAGAAATAAGGAACAACTAGTTATTGAAATATCTTTAAACCCCCACTAAAACAATAACAAATATGTTCACTTTTACTTTCCTAGTATAAAACGGTGCTTCTGAATCTTTCACAAGCGACCTCTGATTCTGGGAGCGCAAACTGAGTCATTTTCTGGGAACCCTCCCTTCTGGTCCAAGCACGTACAATTTACTGGCATTCTATCAGCTGCCTCTGAAAACTGGGATTTCAGATGTTAACAAAGTGCTACACAAAACGGCTAATTACATTACTATTCTGATTACACTGAAATTTAAGTAATACTAGAGAACAACTAAATGTGAAGCAAGTTTAAAAAAGATTTTTTTTTCAAAGACCAATGGTCCGTGTATGCTACATGTCTTCTTTCACACAATACTCCCAGGGGAGAGTTATTTTTTATTAGGGTTTATATCATTGTTTTATTTACATTTCCTTTTATTTTGTCCCATCAGTTGCTCATGTGTGGATTTTCAATAGATATTAACTTAAAAACATGAACTCTAGTTCTGTCGTTAATGTGACAGGCTGAGTTTACTCTAGTAGTAATTTTTGGGAGAAGAAAAAGCCATAAGCATGAAGCTTAAAGAGAGTTTACAAATTTTGTGTAAATATGAAGTTATAATGAAATCGTGGCAATCTCTGCCACCAAGTGGCCATTCAGCAAGGTACAATAGATGTTCTGTCCTGTAACTGTCACACATAAGCAGACTTAGTGAAATTTCACACTTCTGATTTACCTGCCAACTTTCAAGGCGCAGTCTGTAGCTAATTAAAAGTACATTATTCTGTTCAAAAAATGTAGAGTGCTGAAGGGTCCAAGTTAAGATAAAGATGTTACAGTGCTTTACAAGTTTGCAGTGTCTCACTTAACTCTTTTCACCACATAATACCAATTTTAGTTAAGCATTGGATTAACTTTGCAGGTGATCCAAGGTAACGTAAATTTGAAACTGGTAACCAGCATGAAAGACTACATGTAAATTACATAATAAAATACATAATAAATATTTTAAAATGCATAATAAAATTAAATGCATCGGTAGGTTATATGTAAACTGATAAGAAACAGGAGCATGAATGGTGTCACAGCTGCAGAAGAAGTCAGAGATCCAGAAGGGCTGAGACACCAGCCACGGAGCTGGAGCCCAAGCTCACGCCCTAGAGCAGCTTTGGCCAGGGCAGCTTTCCTCTGCCAAATTATTGTCTCTTATTCTATTACATTATTTCCAAAAATTGTGCATTTAGGAAACCAGGAGCTGAAAAAGCAGAAGGAGTATTTGTCTCCTCTAATCTAACAGTAGAGGTGAGGCCCAAGAGAGTGTTACTAGTTCTAAAATCCTGGAAGATATAATGATTACACAGTCATGTAAACTCACTAGCCACTTTTTTAATTATAAATCAGGTACATAGTTTAAGTTAAAACATTTAGATAAGCTGTTTTCTAATGTTTTCTATGTTTTCTAATATATATTCAAAACCTTTAAAGTAGCTTTATTCAAGCAAGAAAAAGCAACAATAACTTGGCCTTTTTATACATCTTTAATTCAATTTCCATCCAAATTCAAATTAATATGTCAGAGATAAAATTTACATATCTATTTATATATTACTATATATCTTGATCATTATTTTTGCTTAGTCAAATAAACATAATCTGTATAGATATATAATGTTTTTAAAAGAACGTGTATTGTGAATCTTTAAAAGTACGTATATTGTGAATCTTTCTAAAGGACAAAAAGAAACTTCAAATTCAGTGTAAACTTTATACTAATTGCAAATTAATGTATTTTGCCAGTAAGTGTAATCTTTTTTTCAGGAAAAAGGATCAAAGTACAAACCTGATCTAGTGAAAGCTGTCCCTGCCCATGGAAGGGGAGTTGGACTACATAATACTTAATTCCAACACAAACCATTATATGATTCTATGAAATGCTAAACAAAATTTAAAAATATTTAAATTATTCCCTGTTTGCAGATTCATGAAGACATATTTGCTTTACTGTTAAAGTGAATATAAAGTTGTTTGGCATTTTAGAAAACTAGAAAAATTTTAAGGAGCAAGCTCTGCAGCAGCTGAGAGAATTGAGAATTTTAATTGATGTCCTCATTGCTGATTAAGCAACTGAACACGGTGCCTTATTCAGCCTTTTTATACCTCTACAATGCCCATGTTTTTTATTTTGCCGTTGTGTTAGTACATGTATGTTAGAACAAAGCCCCAGTAAAGCTCTCTGCTTGAGATGTTTTTATCATTTTCTAGTTAACATCTGGTTAACATTTATCACATACTCCATATTCATACTTCCATTTATTATCAAAGTTCAACCGTGCGAAGTTCCCATTATACCTCAAGAGGCTGTAATGATTTCAGTTGCAGGGGAAAAGGCTACATGAAGGCTTTAGCCTTCATTAACATCAGGCATTGTGGTGAGGGTCCCTTGATGTGTCACATGCCTGTTCAGCTTCATAAGCATCTAACCCTGCCCTGCTTTCCTCCCCATCAATCTATATCCCAGCATATCCCATATATTACTTACCAGGCTTCAAAGTGCCCCAGTTTGCTTATCTGTAGGTGCTCGATGCATTAAGACACAGAGATAACCAACGTAGAGAACCTTGCTGGAAGTACAACACGATCCCAACATGATCTGAGACACTGCAATGATCACCCCATATTTTAAAACAGTAAAAATTTTATTGGACCATGTATAATTACAGATAACTGACTTTTTAGGGACAGTCCCACTTGTTCCAATCATGATTTATATTTCACTTTTTTTTTAATTTCTTGCACTACTACTCATTTAACGGGCTCCATTATCAATCTAAAGTAATATCACCCATTTAATTTTGACAGTCGCTATTCACTCTTACTGCAGCATAGTCATTCAGCTTGAGTCTCAGTTCACCATTTTGTGATGCTTTAGCCCTTCTCTAATATGTAAATCGGTAATGAAGCCTGCAAATTGCATCCTCGGTGTTTCATCAGGGAGTAATGTTCTTTCCTTTCAACACGTGTAGTAAAGAAGATGCTACTCAAAAATGTCAGCTGATAATTTTGTGGACCCTGGCATGAACTGCATGACTGATTACATTCAGCCATTAGTACAAGTGAGGGGAGGAGCAAACTCCTCATGTATTTTGTGGGAGTGAGGGTCACATTAGCTATGGGCAAGTGCTATGAAAGAAAGGAAAGGAGTGATGCTGCCACTTCTCCTTCTTCCTTGGCTTCTCCCACACCCTGTCTTAACTCTCGTTCATCCATTGCCTACAAAGCTGTACCGCATCAGTGTTACCTTCCTCCTTCCCCATCATGTGCACCTGAGGAGTGAGGGGGGTTGGCTGCTCTGCTCTTGTCCCTTGGGCATAGAATCATAGAACAGTTTGGGTTGGAGGGGACCTTTAAAGGTCATCCAGTCCAACCCTGCTGCAATGAGTGGGGACATCTTCAACTAGAGCAGGTTGCTCAGAGCCCTGTCCAACCTGACCTGGAATGTTTCCAGGGATGGGACATCTACCACCTCTCTGGGCAACCTGGGCCAGTGGTTCACCACCTGCATTGTGAAAAATTTCGTCCTTAAATGTAGTCTGAATCCGCCCTCTTTTAGTTTAAAAACCATTACCCCTTGTCCTATTGCAACAGGCTTGATAAAAAGTCTGTCCCCATCTTTCTTATGCACCCCCTCTAAGTACTGGAAGGCTGCAAGAAGGTCTCCCCAGAGCCTTCTCTTCTCCAGGCTGAACAATCCCAACTCTCTCAGCCTGTCCTCACCGGCGAGGGGTTCCATCCCTCTGATCATTTTTGTAGACTCCTCTGGACCCGCTCCAACAGGTCCATGTCTTCCTTGTGCTGAGGGCTCCAGAGCTGGATGCAGGACACCAGGTGGGGTCTCTCCAGAGCGGATGTTAGGAGCAGGTGAGCGGAAGAGTAAAGGGACAAAACCTCCCAGTTCTCGCTTTCCTACATCACACTTTGAAAGGGTTTGTTTCAGCTCTTGTGATTATTTCTGCACAGCTACCACAGTAATTTAATACTCCCCAAATTGAGGTTAGCAGTTAACGCTCTGGCATATGATATATCCATGAGGTAATTTAACCATATTGTTCTTCTATTTATTTTTGTACTATAAATAATGTTTCCATTTCAGCTTGGTCAAAGGAAGCAATCAAGTATAAGAAGCTCAGATGAAATCCACTTAAACAGTTTAAACAATCCTCCAAGGCAATACCAGGTAAAAACCAGTTTATTTTTAAGGAAAATCAAGAAGAAGTAGAACTGACAGACTGACAGCATGAGGACAGTTTTGAATTTATATTAAACCACATGAATCAAAAATAAATCCACAGATCTTGTATATATCAGGAAGAAATGCAATGATTTAGGTATTTGGAGTAAAATCTGAGGGAGTTTTTTTCTCCTTTTTATTAATCATTCTCATAGACTCCAGTAGTAATTTAAGCTTCGTGAATGATAACATTCATAAGATGTGTTTACTTTTCTGACTTTCGTGTCATATATGTGCAGAATCATAAGGTTTAAATATCTACTGTAGATGAAAGCAGAGATTTTTACATTATATTTCTTTAACCTGGCAAGTCCTACACTGAAATGTCTGAATGTGACAGAAGGTAATAGAGATCATATTTTGAAATTTCATAGCAATACTAGAAAGTCCAACTAAGAAAACTTTCTTTCTTTCTTTCTTTCTTTGCAGAAAATAATGAAACGTCTCATTAAAAGATATGTACTGAAAGCTCAGATAGATAAGGAAAGTGATGAGGTCAATGAAGGTGGGTATGTTGATGAATTACATGTTTATGTCTAATCAGAGAATTAAAACAAATTAATTGAAAATTGAAAAAAATGTTTCCAAAATATTTAATCAACTGGACATGTTTACAAGTGCAAGATGTAAAATTAACAAGAAACTGAAGTTAAGGAAGAAATGTGACTTTCTGTCTGTGCTCTCCAGTCAGAAACTATCACTGATCTGAAGACTTCTTGTGAAAAATGTTGCTACTTCTAGTAATGCCCATGCGTTTCCCATGGTGATGCTGCATTTAATGCAGCAGCTGGTTTGGGGCACTCCTGTATGAATTCTCCCTTGTGTGGAAATATGTTCTTACTGGGGATTCATCTGTGGGGATACACCTGCTTCAGCCTGTGTGATTTATTAGCTGGAAACAGCTAGTGAATGCACTTCGCAGAAATGTTCTCCTCTGTTTGCACCTCTCTGATGCTGCTAAGACCCTTAGTGCAGCAGGAAAAGGAGAGGACCACTCTCTTTTGGACAGTGACAGGCCTTGTTGCTGGCCAGGAGGAGTTGGGCACCCACAATCTGCATGATCTGCAGAAAAGGACCTGGGGGTGCAGGTCGACAGCCAGCTGAACATGAACCAGCAGTGTGCCCAGGTGGTCAAGAAGGCCAACAGCGTCCTGGCCTGTATCAGCAATAGTGTGGCCAGCAGGAGTAGGGAAGTGATTGTGCCCCTGTACTCGGCACTGGTGAGGCCGCACCTTGAATCCTGTGTTCAGTATCGCTGTGTTCAGCGATAGGACAAGCTGTTGGGTTGATGGTTGGACTTGATGATCTTAAAGGTCTTTTCCAACCTTAATGATTCTGTGATTCTGTAACAAGAGGTAACAGCCTCAAGTTGCACCAGGGTAGGTTTAGATTGGATATTATGAAGAGTTTCTTCACCAAAAGGGTTGTTCAAGCATTGGAACAGGCTGCCCAGGGAAGTGGTTGAGTCACCATCCCTGGAGGAATTTAAAAGGCATGTAGATGTGGTGCTTAGGGACATTGTTTAGTGGTGGACTTGGGAGTGCTAGATTTACAGTTGGACTCAATGGTCTTTTCCAACCACAATGATTCTATGATTCCTTGGTCTCTCTTGCAGCAGAACAGCAGCTTCCATCTAATGGGTCATTTGAGTTTTGTGAACTGACGTGATCTCTCAAACTTTTTCCTTCATATTTGTTTGATTGCTGAACCTGCTCTCCATATCCTATCCCTATCCCTATCCCTATCCCTATCCCTGTCCCTGTCCCTGTCCCTGTCCCTGTCCCTATCCCTAAGCCACCATTCACCAATGCGCAGTAGAACATGCGCTTTTTCTGCTTCAACAAAGAAATCCAGAGAAAACCCATGATAACCGTGAGATACTTGGATATGCTGGTTTTTTCCTTTGTTTCTTAATAGCGTGATCTTCTAATGTCTGTTACAGGTGAACTGAAGGAAATTAAACAGGACATCTCAAGTCTCCGGTATGAACTCCTTGAGGAAAAATCTCAAAATTCTGAAGATCTGGCAGAACTTATAAGGAAGCTTGGAGAAAAACTGTCAATTGACTCTAAGGAAGAAGAAAGCAAGAGATAACCTAAATGTTTAAGACATGCAACAGAACGTTAACAATTTACTTAAAGCCATATTTCTGTTTTTTTTCACGTCTAGCTCACATTTCTACAACAGATTCAGAAATGAAATCATTCCAATTCTTTATTGAAAACCTACAGTGGCAAGTCCTCTGCTGTCTATGGTAGGGAGGAGATACCACTTGAGTAAAGATACTTATTTATTCTTTACCTGCTGAAGAAGAGTTAATTTGATATCATTTTAATATTCAATTTACCTCTTTTAGAATTCCAGTGGAATCTTGATAAGCCCAGTCATGAAAGATTAAAAGCAGAAGTCTAAACTTTTCCTACATTAACTGGTTATTTTTGCAAATTTCCTTTTATAGACATTCTTACATATATTTTAGTGAAACAAAAGAGGAAAATGCCAGGCTTTTACATATTTATATCAAAAGCTATTTAATTTTTCAAGCATTCCCAACTAGCAAAAAAAAAGCTAATTGCCTTTCTTAAAAATGTGCAGGATATTAAAGTAATTTATTTGAACGTTTCTTTGAAGAGGTAGACATCAGAATACTCAGAGCACTGTGTTATACTTTTCCCTCTTATTTCTGTCACCACTGGATTATCCTGAAAGATATTTATGTTCCAATGGGAGTTAGCACATTAAGAAAGAAATATTTTTCACCAAGTTTATTGAAAAGCTATTGCTGAGGCCTGAGAAACCTTCTGTAATAGAAAATAATTAGTGCTTGAAGTTCTAATCTGTTCCTGAATTTCCAAGTTCTACAGCTTTTATGTCTTGAACTAAAACTTGCAAACTGCAGGATAGGGGTTGAATGTAAAGCTGGTAATGTGTTTCGTTAAGTAGAAGATATTTAAATAGTAGGTGCAAACCTTCTCTCTGAATTCTGGGAACATCATACATTGGGGACCATGTTTCCCCACAGTTAAACTTGTTTAAATCATTTAATTTTATTCAGATCTCTCTTTAGCCAACAAAAACACGTTGTTCTAAAAGTTCGTGAACTCTCATCTTCTATGGATTTGGGTCCCTTGTCCTTTCTTCCACTGGAGAAAGCTCAGCTTTTGTTCTGTATTCCCTAGGACTCCTTCAATGAAGAATCTTCATTCCCATGTCATCAGCAGAAGCCTCCAATGCTTCTACCCTGCCCACTGCAATACGTCTAAGTCTCCTGTTAAACTGGAGAAGAGGTAGCCCCATGCCATGTCTGGCTGATAGTTGTATGACTGGCCAGCTAACATGTCCATGCATGACAGTCAGCTGGTTTCTGTCTCTCCAGATACATACAAGCTAAATTCCGTCTAATTTTTTCCCTCAGTACAGTAATTTGGGTTTCTCTCTCCTGACAGTCACCGATTCTGTGACTGTTAGAAGCATATATTACATTGGAGATTTCTGCTCCTTTCTCAGCTTGCTTGAAATTAGTGAAAGGGCTGCGAAAAATTGTAACAGGAACATCAAGGTGTATAACACACCTGTAAAAGCCTTGTACGTTTAGGAAACAAGGCTGAAAATGGCTTGTCAGTAATTGCTTTTAAATTAGCTTCGTGAAACTTATTTACTGTGGAATGTATCAGAATGTTTCTGCCTCTCCCTTTTATGCTGGAGGTTATTTTTTAAATAGGTTTAGATTAGTTTCTAGCTGAACTTACTGATAGGCCTTTTTTAAAAAAATTATTGGTAAATCACTGTGTATTTTCAGGGAGAAAGAGGGTATTAGAATGGGGTTTGAAATCACATGGACACAGGGGGAGGCGAGGGGCTGTGTCCTGCCTGGAGAGCAATGGAGACCACTGTGGAGGTCGGCCTGCCCCAGCGGTGTCTGTCGTGGTTTGGGGGAACGGCTCAGCCTTCTGCTTGCCCCAGTAGTTTAGCCACAAATGGAGCATGTGGGACAATCCATGTCCTGTGGGCCTCAGGCATAATGAACTCAGGGTTTAGAAACTCCTAAGGCGGCTGCTTCTTCTGAGGGAGGTGAAGGAAAGTGAGGTTTTCAAAAGTGGTGGAGCGGTTTGTATAACAACCACAGTGTGCTGGCCTGAAAAACTCTGAGCTACAGAACAGCCAATTTCATAACTCGCCTTTGATCCTGAAAAAGCGTTACCTCATAACCTCCAGTATTTCCTGCGGTAATCAGCAGGGGTACTGCAGACTCTGGGGTGACCTACTGGCTGGTCTTCGGCAGAAACACCGGTTTCTGTGTCCGCCGTTGTGTAGAAAACAAAGGCACTTGGGGTGATCTCGGGCTGGAAGGCAGCATGATGCTAACTTGACTGCTTTTTGGCTCCTGGATGGTTCCTGACCATCTCCCTTGGCCAGGACTGGACACTGAATTTAAGTTCCCGCTTGAGTATTTAGGGCCTTGTCTTTTGAAGCAGTGAGCACTTACTACAGCTCCGTTGAATGACCGCGTTAGAGACCGTACCGTTCAAAGCATTCCTTCCACCTTTGACAAGCTCTTTGGAAAATCGGTTGATCAGAACTTGAGGTAACAAGGACAGTCAAAGTTCACTTTCAGTAATCAAAAATCTTTATTTTTGGTCATTGTAATGTACTATTTGGATCTGCGGTCTAGTGCTAGATGATGGTAAAATCTTCCATCTCCATAAACCCAGTGTGAGGAAATACATAAACACTGTTTAAGACTTTTAAAGTGAAGATTTTTATTACAGAAGTAAAATGGACACTGTGAATTTGTTTAAGCCCAAATTTTGACTTACCTGAAAGCTATAAGATCGTAATGTATATATTGTATTTCATGAAGAAAATACATATGGATTTTTTTAATTCAATGAAGATATTTTATATGTAGTTAATACTCATGGAACAATTTGTTAAATATATTTGAAGAGGTCTATTGCCAAATGTAGTGTGACAAGCAATGTAGTATTTAAAATGAGCACAATACCAAATATATTATTCTGATAAAAAAAATTAAATGTACCAGACTCAAAATACCTTTGTGATGCATTGCGTGAACATGTTGGTCTGTCATGGGGAACCTTTGTCTGCTCTTGCTTGGAAGACAGCAGTAAGACAAATATGGTAAAATACTTTAATTTGCTAGCAACACTAGTACAAAAAAAGTTTCACAGAAAGAACAAAGATCTTTTCATAGTTGGTTAGACTCAAGGTCAAGTATTTTGTCTGCTGTGACTAACTGTGACTGATGGTAGATGTTTCAGAAGAACCCTGTAGTAGGTAACAGATAATTTGTATCCTACATAGTTCTTCTGGTTTCTAATAAGGAAAATTTGTCATAACTTTGAAGAAGGAATGTTTACAGAATTTTTTGTGCATTATTAGGATAACAAGATGGTCTTAATTGTTTCTTTAAATCTTGTTAATTGCTTGAGCTCAGCAATTCACAGTTTCTGCAGCAGCAGTTTCTACATCTAAACCAGACCTACTGTGAAGAAATACTGGCTTTTATTTTTTTTCCCCTGAATTTTTCTTAAGCATGAATTATGAGGCACAGTGAGTAAAATCTGTCATCTCTTAAACATCCTCCTCTCTGTTTATACAAACATATTTCACTAAAAAACATAGGAGGGCTTACTGAACAGAAGAAAATGCAGTAAAAAAATCCCCAAATCAACAAAGCTTTGTCCAAGGGTTTCTCTCACTATTCTGGATGAAACCAAATCATGCCCAGCTGTTGGGATAAAGCCTTATACATCATGGAGGACTGCAGATATCGGAGAGTAACACTGCAATGCAAGCTTAAGGTACTCAAAATTTACAGTAACAGGACCTGAATAAGAGCTACAGGGTTTCATGTATAGATTCAGAAACTCCAGGTTAAAATCTGCTGTATTTCACCCTGTTTGAGAGCAGTGCCAAGCCAAGCCAATGAATCCTACTGGTTTTAGAAGTGGGATCTACAGGTTCATCTGATTTTAGATGCCAGCTATGAAGACTTCTGCATCTGAGCTCATCTAAACTGTCTTTATATTCAGTGGATAGAAATAGTCAAAGACCTATCTTAAGGTAGACAACTATCCCAGGTGAGTCATATAATAGAATTGACCATTTATCTCCAGTTGTTCTAAAGAAGCCACTGTAGCTATTACCAATGTTTATAATGAAGTGTGAGAAGTCCCAGCTTGGCAGAAATGAGCCCTGCAGTACACTGCAGAGCCATGAACCATCACAAATGCTCACCGGCTTGGAAGTGCCTGAGCTGATGAGGCCAGTCATTGAGAGGGGCAGGATCTAACCTGCCTCCAGAAGAATCCAGCCCATCCCCCAGGGATGATGGATGAGGATGGTTCTTCTTTACTCTGCAGCAATATTACATTTTTTCCTTCTTCATTAGTGTAACTGTGGGTAGGCATAAATGAAAATACCCATTAACTGCATCTACTCCAGACGTGAGAAAAACTGTAACTTAGTGTGCACATGGCAACTAAATTCTTGATGAACCAGGAGCTTTATGATAAAAATAAGTTCATATCCCATGTTTCAGTACACTGTGGTGAGCATATATTTTCAATATTATGTCTTCAAAGTAAAGTTTACAATATACAGTTTGATCTTGGCAGTACTTTAGCTATAGCAGCTGTATCATGTAATTTACTAAGAACATGTTCTCATGACTGCAGTGTCCCAAAATGCAGTTTAGTCCACTGAAATCTTCCATTTGCCCCTTAGAGATTTCCCTCAAGCTTGAAATTTGTGGCTGAACATTATAATTAATACATTATAGACCACATCATGTGCCATTGTACTCATCTGAGAACAATAGAAATCATCCTTATGTCGAAAAATGCTCATTATTCATGTAAATAATTAATGCTTTTTTAAATTCATTAGAAAAAGCCTGGTGTGAATAATATTTCTTATTTCTAAGCACTTATGTTCCTGCTTAAATTTTAATTTGGCCTGTGGAAAATAAAAGCCATAAATTAAAAAGTTTCTGTTTGGAAAAATACTCAGACTTCAGGAGCTCATATCAAAAGCGAAGTTAGGTGAGGCTGAGGAGTGTACCTTAAACT